ATATATATATATTTATATATATTTATATATATTTATATATATATTCAATTTTATCTTTCTATTGTATTTTTATAATACATTTATTTTTTTTCAATTAATAATACATTTATTTTTTGTCTATTAATAATTAATTTTTAATTAATTATATTTTAAATAAAATCTTTATACATTATTATATTTATTTAATAATGAAAAGTTTTATTATAATTCTAAATTATATACAGCAAAATTATTTAAAATCTATTTTTTTTTTAATTTATTATTGTATATAATATTTTTTTTATAGTATTTATATAATTACATAAATAAATATTTTTTCATTTTTAAATTTATTTTGTATATCTTACAAACCAAGTTTTTTTGAAACAATTAATTTTATATTGTAAATAATAATTTATAAATACATTAAAGCATTCAAAATAAGTAAATTTTGGTTAATAATATTTATTTCAATTATGATTATTTTAAAAATATGTAAACAAAAAAACCAATAAAACAAATTAACTAAAAAAATTAAAATAAAATTAAAAAATTAATAAATATTATATATATATATATATATTTCAACAAAATTAAATATTTAATAATGAAAAATATGAAAATATTTATATAATATTTTATATTTAAAATTATAAATTATTAATTTATAATTATATTTATATTTTCATATTTTTAATATATTAAATAATAGTTATATATTAATTATTATTTTTTATTTATAATATATTAATAATTATATATTATTTTTTATATATTAAAAAAAACTAATTTTAATAATATAAAATGAATTTTTTATTATTTTTTATATTTATGTTATTATTTATTTTATTAGAATGCTTACATGAAAATTTAACTAATTAAGAATAGCAAAGTTTAGACACAGATAATTAAAATTAAAAAAGCTATATGTAAGAAACAAATTAAAAAAATAATTAAATATTGAATAGAAAATAAAAACAATTATATATGGGTTTAGGCCCTTAAATAAAAATGAAAACATACTAAAAAAATGACTAAGAAATATAGATGAAAAAATAAATAATTGTTATATTGTTTATTATTGGTTTAATAATAGTCGGATTAATTGCATTTTTAATATTAAGAAAATTAAAAAAAATTAAATAAATAGATAATTACAAATTAATTTAAAATCAAGAAGAAACAAAATAAATATGTTGAAATATTTTATTATTAAAAACATATTTTTATATCTAAATATATATAGAAAAAATAATTAAATTTATTTTTTTTAATATAAAAAATAATTATTTTTTGTTTCATATAAATTGCATTTACATGTTTTTATTTTCTTTTATTATTTAATTTTAAGTTTTATATAAATATATATATATATATATATATATTTATTATTTTTTTCGTAGGTTTTCAATATAATATAAAAAATATTTTTGTTAATAAAAACTTTTTTATTATAAACAAATTTATAATTATTTATTACTAATTAAATCATTCTATTAAAAAAATATAATTTTTAAATATTTTTAAATATTTTTAAATTCTAATATTTTAGTATAGATGACTTAATATAATTATATTTTTAGTAAATACTATATATATAGATATTAAAAAGAAAAAGAAAAAAAAAATATATTTTTTTTTTATTAAAATAAACTAATTGTATTTTTTTTTTTTTTCCAATAAATTAATATTTTATTAAAAATTCAGATTTTTAAAAATATATTTAAAAAATAAAATATATATAATTGGTATTAAAAAAATAAAAAAAAGTATATAAATTTTAATATAATAACATACTAAATAATTCTACATAAAAAATTAAGAGAGTAAAATTAATATTATTTTTTATAAAAAAAAAAAAAAAAAAAAAAAAATATCTAAAAAAAGATATGAATTATAAAAAAACAATCACTTAACATTCATTAGAAGTCCTCGATTTTTTTAAATAAAGGCATATTTCTTTAAAATATATAGAAAGTGGTAATAATTCAATAATATCTTAATTAATTTACACTAAAAGGAAAAAAAATTCTTTAAAGTTAGTCATAAAGGAAATAAAGCATTTTTCTCAAAATCATTCTGATGAGTGTAAATATTTAGAAAATGAAATAAATTAATTAAACAAATTTGATCATAAAAACATTATAAAATTAACCAAAAACGAAGTTTTTTTTTCAAAAAAAGCTGCTTAATTTTCCTTCCTTTCGCAAATTAAGATTTATTTGATTTTGCCTTCAAAAACAAGAGCAAAAAAAATATTTTATACATAAAAAAATGTTTTAAATAAATTTCATAGGCCCTATATTACCTACACGACGAAAAACAAGTTATCCATGGGGACTTAAAGCCTGAAAATATATTTATTTTTGGTAAATTTACATTCAAACTAGCAGACTTTGGATTTTGTAGACCTGTAGAGAAATTAAAAAGTAGACTTGAGTGCATAAATAAGTATAAAACACGTCTTTTGAAATATTTTCCACCTGAGTTTGTAGATTGTTTTGAAAATAAAGACTTTAATATGGAATAAATTAATGAATTTAACATTGATATTTTTGCATTTGGAATAAGTCTTTTTTAAGTGGTTTTTTTATAATGTCCTTTTGACCATGAAAATGAGTTTTATTGTGAAATTTAGGAATTAAATTTAAAAAAGAAGAAATTTTATCATAAAGAGGATTGTTTTTATAAATTATTGTATAGTATTTAAGTTTAAAATTTGTTCTGGAAATAATTTTAGAGTTAATTTTAAATTATAGACTTGGAATTATTTAAAGATCTTATTTTAAAAACTATATGTCCTTATCCTGAGGGAAGAATTTCAATTTATGATATTCTTAATCATCCTTGGTTAAATAATTTTTGAAAAAAATTTTATAAACTTTTATTTATTAACTTTTTTTTTTTTTTTTTTTTTTAACAAAAAAAAAACATATTTTTAATTTCTTTCTTTTTATTTTTTAAAAAATTATATATTAATATGTATGTATAAAAAAATCATTATTATATAAATATAATTAAACAAAGAAACAAAAAGCTTAAAAGGTAATTTTTTTTAATATATAAGAAAAATTTTATTATATTATAATTTATATTTCTTTTTATTTCATAAATTTATTATATAAATATAAAAAAAAATAATAAAATTATTAATTTTATAATTTTTATATTATTTTTTTATATATATATTTATAAATTCTTATAATATTTCAATTGATATATCATTTTAATTAAGTATTTAATATTAGTATAATTATATATATATATTTTATTAATTATTTTTTTCTTTTTTATTAATTAAATAAATTAGTTATATTATTTTTTAAATACAGATTATCTTTTAATTTTTCATAAATTTATTAATAATTATTTAAAAATAATAAACTTTTATATTTTATATATTTAATTTTTAAATATTATTAATCTTTTTTAAATTATATTATTTTTATATTTTATTATTTAATTACTTAATAATATTTAAAATATTTATATTTTATTATGATTTTTACATTATTAAATAAAATTTTATATTATATACATTAATTTTTTTTTACTATTTATATATGTAATTACAAAATAATAAAAAATTATATAAAAATAATTCTATTTATATATACATATGTATTAATATTTTTAAAGTAATATATTAAAAAATAATATATATATTAATAATAATTAATTAAAATATTTTATAAAACTAATATTACTTAAATTATAAATAATATCATAAATTATATTGAAAATGTTTAATATATGTAATTATATATATATATGTATATTTTTATTTTAAATTATTCTGATATTAAAATAAATTTTCATAAATAACTTTTTTTTATTACTCAATTAATTAATTTAGTAAATTTATTTTTTCCTTTATATTTTATTTATATCCCTATTTAATTTTATTTTAAAAAAAAAAATTAAAATACTTCTTTCTTTAAAAAATTATAAATAAATATATTATATATTAATAAAAAAAGATATAGTTTATTAAAACTCATTATATATAATTACATAATTGATTTTAAAAGAAAAATAATAATAAAAAACAAACCTAAAAAAAAAAAAAATTACTTAAAAAAAAAACAAACTAAAAACATTCATTACGTAACTATTTTATTTTTAAAAAAATATCTGATTATCCGTTCTTTTTGTAAAATAATATTTATTTATATTTGCCTTTAAAAAAAATAAAAAAAAAACATTTCTATATCAAAAAATATATTAAATAAACTTCAGCACTATATTATATACTAGATGAAATACAAGTCATCCACGGTAGCTTAAAGCTTTAGAATATTGTATATTTGATAAATATCCATTCAAAATAGCTGAATTTATATTTTTAAGGCCCTTAGAAAAATCATAAACTCGATTTGTATTCATTTTATTTAAAGATATTATAAGCTTTTTACTTTTGATTTATTTTTATAAATAAACAAACAAATATAATATAATATATAATATAATATTAGTTAAAAAAAACCTCCAATTTTAATTTTAAATTTATAATAGAATTGCTTAACTTTTAATTTTTTTTTAAAAATATAAAAAAAAAATATATATATATATAAATATTATAAAAAAATGGACATTAAAAAATAGTCATAAGAAGAATCAATTACAGTAGTTGTAAGATTCAAACAAGAAAAAAACATAAATCAAGTAAAAATTAAATATATATATAATCATCATAAAAATAATAAGGAAAGTGACTGGCTAATAAACGAAGAGCAACAATCAGTCCAAATAAAAATCCAAAACAAAGGCCAAAAAGTATTTAATTTCGACGGCGTAACCTAAAATCTATCATAAAAGCAAATATACGAAAACTACGCAAAATAATCTATATTAAAATTGTAAAATATAAAAATAAAAAATAAATATAATTGTATATATATATATATATATATATATATATATATATATATATATATATATATATATTTATATATAGTCTCTAAGGATATAATAGCACTATATTTACATATGGTTAAACATCCAGTGGTAAAACATATACTATGCTTGGTCCTGAAATAGTTACATAAACGATAATAAAGAATACAAATTAAATACCTAACGAAATAAAAGAATTATACGGTATAATGCCTCGTAGTATAATAACAATATTTGATGGAATAAATAAAGGAATAATAAAAGATGGTTCTTAATATATATTAAAATGCTCATATATAGAAATATATAACGAGAATATATATGATTTATTATCTAAAAAAGAATAGATTTCTTTAAAACTTCGCGAACATAAATTCCAGGGTTGGATAATTGAAGATTTAGAGGAGAAAATAATAAAAGAACCGGAAGAAATATTACACTGGTTATCCATAGGAACATAAAATAAATCTGTCACATAAACAAAGATGAATGAAAGAAGTAGTCGATCACATACAATTTTTACTATTTTTTTAGAATAAAAACTCACTAATGGTATATTTAAATTAAGTAAGTTGAATCTTGTAGATTTAGCAGGTTCAGAAAAATTAGATCATGCCTAAACTACAGGATAGTCAAAGGAAGAAACTAAAAATATTAATAAATCATTATCCTACCTATAGCATTGTATAGTAAGTCTTAGTAAAGGAGAATACGCTAATTTCAGAAACTCCAAATTAACAAGAATATTAAAAGATGCTTTAGGAGGAAATTCGAAAACTACTTTAATTTGTACAGCTTCTATGAAAAAAGAATATGAAAATGATACTTTAGGTACACTTTATTTCGCTTAGAGGGCTAAAATGATAAAAAATAAGGTACAAAGTATTTCAATAAAAAGAAGTTAGGAGGAATTATAAGCACTTTTAGGAGAAAAAGAAAGAGAAATATAAAAAATAAAACGTGTTTTTTACGATTTAATAGGAAAAATTTAAGATGAAGATTTAAAGGAAGAATATATATAAATTTTAGGCAAAAAAGAAGATGAAAACGAGGATTTTTTAGAAAAAAAGTAGAAGTAGAAGATGAAGAATAAGAATAAGAATAAGATGAATAAATAGAATAAGAAAAGAATAATAATAATAATAATAATAATAATAATAATAATAATAATAATAATAATAATAATTATAATATTTAAAAAGAAGAAGAAATAGAAAAATTAAACATAATAATAAACCAATTAGAAAAAAAACATGAAGAATTTCTTTAATAACTAAAAGAAGAAGAATAATATAAAGAATAGAAAAAAAATGAAAAAATATAATAACTATCAATTTTTTAAATCTAAAACGAGAAACTAATGGAAAAAATAGAAGAATATTAATAAATAATAAACATTAAAATAGATTCTATATAAACTAAAGATGATGAGAACAAATTACTAATTGAGTAAATTTAGACTTTATAGAAAAAAAACGGACAAATACAATCTTAAAAAGACTAGATATTATTAGATTTATAAAAAAGTCTTTATAATATAAGTTAATTATAATTAGAAAACACTGAACTTTTATAAAATTTTAATTTTAAATCTGATATATGCAAACAGAAAACTGACGAAATATTTTTATTGGAAAAAAACCTAAAAAAATTATAAAATTAATATGAAGAAATTTCATAATTTTATAATTTAAAAAAAAACAAAAATTCATAAAATATTTGTCAAAAATGCCAATCAAATGAAGAAGAAATTTCTTAATAAAAAAAATTAAATTAAATACTTACTGAGTAAATTTTCCTTTAAAAAAAAAGAATTTCATAACTTATTGAAGAACTTAAAATCTCGCAACAAAAAATATCAAATCTTTCATTATTTTAATTCTCTAAATAACCTAGTTCTAATTTTTTTCTATAAGAAAATGCTAAAAATATTTCAAATCTCTTCTAAATAGAACTTCGTAAGCTCAAAAATGAAAAATAACGTATTTAAAAGGCTAAAAGTGACCTAGAATTCAAACATAACTTCATTATATAGGAAATAAAATCACAAAAAGAGTACATTTAATCTCAATTATAGGCCAAAGAAACAAAAAGAACTATTCTTATTACTAAAGTATGTAAAACTCACTCTTAGACTTTACAATGATGAAAAACCAGCTCGAAAGTATCAAAAACAAGTAATATTTAAGGGAAAAATAACAAGCAAAAATACTTTCTGAACACTAAAATAATAATAATAAGTCTATTTTAAGTTTTTTTTCTGGACAGAAAAATTATATAAATTCATTTGTTAAAATACCTGAATAATATCAAATGTTTAGTGATGAAAAACTGAAATTTTTCTACTAAAATAAAAATTAATAGGAAAATGAAAAAATAATGCTTTTTGAAAATGAAAAAAATATACTTTATGAAAATGATATATAAATATAAGTTGATATAGAATCTATTTAAAATGAACTTGAATGTTAAGAAAATATATACTAAGATTAAGATTAAGATTAAGATTAAGATTAAGATTAAGATTAAGATTAAGATTAAGATTAAGATTAAGATTAAGATTAAGATTAAGATTAAGATTAAGATTAAGATTAAGATTAAGATTAAGATTAAGATTAAAATAAAAATTAATATTTAGATAATAAATAAGTAATAAATTAAGATTAAGATTAAAATAAATATAAAATTTAAGATTAAATTAAATATTAAAATTAATAATAAAAAAAAAATTAAGATTATCATTAAAACTAAGATTAAAATTAAGATTAGGATTAAAAATAAAAATAAAAATAAAAATTAAATTAAAATTAAGAATAAGATTAAAACGAAGAAATAAACAAAAAAACTTTTTGTAGCTTTTTCTAAGATATTATAGAATTTTGAAAATATATATATATAATTTTTATAAATAAAAATAAAAAAATTAAATATATTAGTAAAATATGATTACAATATAAGTGTATAAAATTTAAAAAAAAATAATGTTAAATATATGTATTAAAGTATACATATATATATATATATATATATATATATATAAATATATATATATATATTTTATTTTTATAATATTTTTCTTATTAATTTGATATTATATAATATTTTTTTATTTTTTTTCATAAATATTATATTTTAATATAAATTTATGTATTTTACTAAAATTTTTTTAAAAAAATTATTTATTAGATTATAATTAAAAGAATAAAAATTCAAGTTTTAATAATTTTAAATTTAGAAATTTTAAGATTATCATTTTAAAATATTCAATTCAAACATAATTTTGATAACATAATATAATTATAAATTTAATAAAAAAATTATTTTGATATTAAAAAATTTATTAAATACTTTAGAAATTATAAAACATTAAGAAAATATTAAAAATATAAATTATATTTGTTCAGAAAATAAAAGTTTAAGCGTTCTTTAATCAATATAAATAATACTAAGTAATTAAAATGATTTATAAAATAATTATTAAGATTATTAAGAATATTATTATTAATTAAAAAATAAATTAAAATCATTATAATAAATTTAATAAATAATTAACAAGAGTCTTTACTATTAAAAATTTATAGAAATGTATCTAATGTTATTTTATAGAAGAAATTAAAAATTATTTATTTTAATGAAAAAAGTATATAATTTTTTATAAATATAATTTATATATAATTAAAATTTAGCTAAAATAAAAATAAAAAATTTATTAATATATTTATATATTTATTGAAATATTATATTGTATATATATTCTAATAATTAAAAAATAAGTGTATCAATTATTATTTATAAAAGAATTTTTATATTTATGTAAAAAAATAGAAAATTTACATGTAAAATATATATATATATATATAGCACATATTTTATTATTTAAACTTCTAAATTTTATAACATATTTTTCTTATTGATTATAGCAAATTAACTAAAAGAAATTTTTAATTCTATATTTATTCAACAATACAAATTTTATTTTATTTAAAGAAATTTAATTTATTCTATCTTTTTTTTCATTTATTAATTATAATACCATTTATTAGTTTATTCAAGTCTTATTAATTGTTTTAATCTTATTGTAAAAAAAAAAATTATTTATTAAGTAATTATATCTTAATTACCTTAATTGTATTAATTTTATATTAACTCTTCTATTACAATGTCTCTTTTCTCAATTTCTTCTTATGCTGCAACTAATAATGCTTCTAATTCTATAACTCTATTTCTGAGCTATATATATATATATATATAAATATATATATATATATATATATATATATACATAAATATATATTTTTATATATATATATTATTTTTATTATAATTACATGCTCATTTTAATCAATAGATTCATTTAATAAATTCTGCATTTAACTTATTTTTTTATTTTATGAATTTCTTTTTAATTTATTTTTCATTTTTTTTTAATTATCAAAAATTTCGAAAAAATATAATTTTTTTTTTTTTTTTTTATTTAATTTTAAATACTATTTCATTAAGTAAATATAATTAATAAAAATTTTTCAACGTATAGAAAAATAGAATAAAAAATTTTTTTCTAATAATATATAAATTTAATATATATTAAAGAATGAATCAAAAAAAAAGTATCCAAATAAATGTTTAAATTTTTGTTGGACTATAAGATTACTATTTTTAAACAATTTTAATATTAACTTGGTATTATTTAATAACAAAACAAATAGAAATATAATTAGCATATTATTAAAGTATAAATAAAAATAAATAAATGCAACATATAAAATGTATTTTATAATAATAATAAATTAATTTATAATTAACTCGATTAAGTTTTTAAAAAACAATAAAACTATTAAGTAAATAAAGCATAAAATTCTAAAAATAACCTTTATTAAATTTTTATTAAAAAATTAAATTCGAATTTAAAATTTTGTTAAAAATAATATATAATATTTTAATGCTAAATATTCTAATGAATTGAATAAAATCCAAAGCAAAAAGTATATGAACAAAATATTAGTTTAAAAATAATATTCAAAATCAAAATAACGTTAATATTTATTATATATTTTTTTAAATTAAACGAGTAAATAGATATTTTTTTAATCAAAATATAGGGATTTTATTTATTATAATTATATAAATAAAATACAATAAAAATTTACTACTTAAAAATAAAAGTAAAATTCTAACAATTAACTTTTAATTAACTCAAATAATAAAAGAAATAATAATTAATACTTATTTTAAAAATATGTATTTATAATTTATCAGAAAAGAAAATATTAAAATATATATTTATATAAATATAAATAAAAGTTTAATTAAATAAAAAAGTGAAAGAAAATTTAATAAAAACTCATAAAAAAAAATTTATTATATAAAAAAATGTAATAAAACAATAAATTATAACAAATTTAAATAAAAGTTTAATAAAAAAGACAAATTTAAAATAATAAAAAGTAAATATTTTTTATAATAAAAATTTAATAAAAATTTAGTAAAATATTAAAGTAAAATTAAAAAAAATTAAATAATATAAATAAATATAAAAATATTTTAAAGAAAAAATAGAATAAAAGTTATATATATATAATTATATATTTATATATTTATATATTTATATATTTATAAATTTATATATTTTTT